AACCAAAGCTCTTCCCTGTCCTCCCTCCGCGAACTCGACCCCGATGCCCCCCTGGCGGGCCTGGCCGCCTCCGGGGTCCGGCTGTCCGATGAGGACATCGGCGCCCCCGCCAGCCTCAGCCACCGCGTCTCCTTCGCCTCGGACATGGACATGCCGTCCAGGGTGGGGCACAGGGAGCCCGGCCCGTACGCGTCCTTCACCCTCCCCTGCAGGAGGTCCAAGGCCTTCACGGAGGACGCTTCCAAGAAGGACACCCTGAAAGCCAGAATGCGTCGCATCAGTGACTGGACAGGAAGCCTCTCCAGAAAGAAGAGGAAACTCCAGGTAAGCATCAGAGCATCAGCAACGATTCCCGCCGGTTTCCAATCTGTGAAATGGCAGTGTTAGCAGAAGCTGCCCCAGGGGTGCCCGAGGCGACAGTGAGCTAAGACTGGGCACGTCTTGGTTGAGATGTGGGCTTTTAAATTATTTGTTTGTTTGTTTGTTTGTGTATTTTCTTTTGCTTCTTATGTGCATTTTCGCTCTTAACGCACAACTTCGGTCTCTCCGATTCTGTGCAGTGTCCCCTCTTGTACGAATGACACAGGTCTCACTCACCCCAAGATGTGTTCTCGGAAAGCGGAGCTTCGGGGACACTTTCCCCAGATAATGCGGTTTTCTGAGAACTGTGCTGGAGCTCCTTCTCGAAGCCCACACGAAAAAGGGCGGGAGAGAGAGTGTTACCTCGGGAGTAGCCTTCCTGAACTCGGTTTTACTTTGGGAAAATTAAAATTTCTATACTTAAGTTGGTACTTAAGTTGATGATCCATCTGTGTGTATAATCTCACCACCTCGTGGGGGTAGCCAAGTTTTGAAAACATCTTGTACTTGAGAACATAATAGCAAAAATATGATAATGCTGATAAAAGAAGAATCATGATGATAAGAATACTTTTAATGGTGCATGAAGTTTTAATGGGGGAAACAGTGGTTTTACCACCAGGAAAGAAAGTAACAATTTGCCTTTTTAGGTAACTAGTAGCAATTGCTAGGTTTTCAGTTGGTGGTGGTTTTTTGTTTGTTTTGTTTTTACTTTGAATTAATTATAGAAGAGAGAAAACTTTTTTTTTTAAATTCAATATAACACATATTGTTGAAGGGAATTTGGTAGGAAATTACTCTGTAATAGAATTGCATTTTAACTGTCCTAGATGGACATTTAATAAGATTTGATAGAGCTTTAAGGGTAGATGATAATATCACTTCTGTAGAAGATCGTTTCAGATCTACGACATTTACGGATAGTAAATTCCTTCTTATGTATAAGATGTGCCACCACCAACCTCCCATACTGTCCTTTCTTGCCCTTTTCTCTTCCTTTACGCAGAGCTAAAGAACAGGTGATCACCGTCCCGTTAGGGAAGCCCTCATATCCCTAAATAGAATAATTTGCTTCCTTCTTTGTCATCACTTCCTCTGGTCGAAGCACTGAAGAGTAGAGATTTCTTCGACTTTTTTCTCACAGCTGTTCCACGCAGGCAACTATCATATCTTTTTGAGTCAAGTGTGAAATGGCGCCAACTTATGTTCATCTGTCATCGGCTGTGACCCTGGATTGATACTGGCGTTGAGCCAGTTATTCCTCATCTCTTGTGTGCGTGAAGTGTGTATCTCATCTATGTTTGTGGCCCGGCTCACACACAGTTCTACTGAGTCTCATTCAGTTCAGTTGGAAAGCAGACCAGTCACCACTGTGCATTGACCTTGTTCTGTCCCGTGCAGGCCTCCCTGCCTGGCCCGTGCATGAGAAGTGAACCTCCTTCAATTCTGTATCATTCACAGACTTAACTCCGAATGATTTGTAAGCCTGAGGAGTTAAGAACAGACTGGTTAGAGGCAAAAGATCTGAATCTGAAAGCTAGAAAGGACTCCTCCTCATTTTAAAACTGAAGATGCTCAAGTTCAAGGAGTTTGAGGGCTCTTCCTGAAGACACATGGTTAGTTAGTGGAGAAGCCAGGCCAAAGCCGTTTCTGCTAAACGGCAAACATGTGCTTTTTCCACTTAGCCACATGACCAAGGTATTGTCGATAGCCACTAGTAATTACGTGGACTATTATAAGATAATGAACCATTGTGGACTTTTAAAAAGTGGCCTATGAAGGCAGCTTTTTAGTTTTGCTTGTGTTCCCATAACTGATAAACTATAAAAGTGAATGAAGTGAACTTTGGGGGCAAGTGGACCACTTCAGCTGGCCATACCTTTGTTTTTCTTTCACAATTTAAGGTGAAGATCAGGTTTAGACCCTAGAAGATGTAGTCAGTGCATGGGAGCCAAGTTTGTGACAACGCACTATAATAAAGCCCCCAACAAATGCAGACTCTTCCATGTGCCAGCAGGGCTAAGGGGCAGAAAGTCTTACCGTGATGGACAGACATACTTGTTTTGACTTTTAAAACAGTGATGGAAAAAGCCACCCTTACTTTATAGGGCTTTTTACCACTCTGGTGAGTTGCGGCCTGAAAGCAGATTAGTCAGTGAAAAATGCACACAATTGAAAAGGAAAATCATGCTAATCAGAGAGAGGAAGGGAGAGGGAGTGAGGGAGGGACCGTGTTGTGGAAAGAAGTATGTGTTTGAGGTCGATAAACTTTGTATTCATGTGGCCGTAGGAGACCTGTGAGCCCTTGCTCCCTCCCGTCCTGGGAAAACTTCCATGTCTGCCAGTCAGGACAGGCCGGTTATGCAGAGGAAACAAAAAGCCCTCAAACCTTTGAGGTTGAGCACAAGCCAAGTTTATTTCTCACTCCTGCTACATACCCTGGTCTACACTGTCCCTCCCTGGGACCCCAGGTCCACAGAGCCGCTGCCATCTGGAACACTGCCATCCTCTATGGCCGAGGGAGAAAGAAAATCATGTGTTAACTTTTAAAGCTTCCACTCCGAAATGACACAGCTCCCTTCTGTTTGCATTTATTGGCCAAAGTGCCAAAGCAAGTCATGTGGCCACGCCTAACTTCAAGGGAGGGAGGGAGCAGGAAGCGATGCTGCCATGTGCCTTAGGGGAGGACCAGAAATTGCTGGTGGCCAGCACCGATGCTACGGCAGAGTTTACAGCAGAGGAGACTTAGGGCCGAGACCCTGACTTTCTGGCCCCCTCTCACTGCCCTTCGAGGGCTGTGTGGACACAGGTAATTTCTGCATAGAACCCAGGGGTCCTTACTCTGTCATCAAGGAAAATGTCATGTGAAGAATGACAAGGTGTCAAATTGGTACTTTTTTCTAGAAAGTGAGGAATCGTGATCAGAGTTTTCCTTTAGCTCCCAAGGAGTTGAGTGGCATCTCTTGAGTCCCTCTCTGCTCTCGTGCCCTGGTCATCAGTTACATTATCTGTTATTTATGACGGTCTGATTGAGGGACGTAGAAGTCAGTCTGCTTAGTGTACATGACACCTTAGTTCCGTAACCCTAACACAGTGGTCAGGAAACTCAGCTGAGAGCTTATTTAGAGACATTCATTCATTCATTCATTCTTATCGGCCTGAAAATTAGTCACTGGCTATTAGGATTCTAGCCAGGAAGCTTTAGAAATTTATTAGAGACGGGGAAAGTTCATTTCTGTGCATAAGAATCAGTTATAAATGCTAAAATGTAATGTTTTCCAATTTTTCAAGGAGAAAATTTTGTCTTTCTTTGCTACGGTCGAACATAGAAAAGTTAGTTCCAAAACTTTAAGTCTCTCTCTTATGAGACACAATGTCAGTGTTTATGGGTTGTGTTTAAGTTTGATACTTTAGTGCCTTTCTTTGACAGAGTTTCTCTTTTTTCGAAACACTTCATTTTAACTCCTGCTGGGTATCAGAGGCTGTCCCAGGTTTTGGGGGCTCTGGGTCAGAGAGTCACACTCATAGCTGCAATCATGTTACTACTTGCTAAATGCAAAGTATTGCTTCACCTCCTAAGAGTTGTTGAATAACAACAAAGTGACAATTTAAAAAACTTTTAAAAATTATTTCGAAAGCTTCCTGTCTAAGTGACTCATCACAGCTGGCTTATTTGCTCTGTTCCTGCATAAGCATCAGTGTATAAATAAATATGACTACGGGACACTGTGTAAACCCAAGCAGAAAATAACATTTTCATTAGTAATAGCTGTGTTTGGGGCTTAGTTGTTTATCGCCCTTGGTTATTTTGCAAATACTCTTCAGTTGATGATTTTCCTGCAGAAGATAGATAGCAAGTAATTGCTATGTTGCTACTTTCTGGGTGGAATTTTGGAAAATAAAACCCCTCCACACATTGGAATATTCAAAATAAGGCCATTAGTCAGTGGTCCTTGATTTAGTTTTCCCTCATTTTTATTTTAATAGATAAGGGAGTAAACTGAGTCAGCATTGCCCTGTAGAATTGCTTTAGTCTAAGCTCTAAGGTTGGAAAATCAGTATCTTTTGAGTCATACGTTAAGCTCACTTTCTGCTGAAAAATTTAGTTGCTGTTATTTACCAATGAATGGCCCGTATGAAAGTTATTTTTCTTGAATGACTAGATTTCCAATCTAGGCATAAGACAAAACCTTCATGTTTTCGGCTCTGTGGCTGGCCGGTTCAGTGTTCAGTGTGTGTAGTCCTAAAAACCAGGGGTAGCAGTTATTATATAAATATTAATTTTATTTAGAGCTGCCTGTGTCTGATTTTGTGTTGGAATAAATATGAAAGTGAAGAATCACATCTTTAGTATCCCCAGTGCCTACAATACAATCGATGTTCAAATAGAAGGACGCGAATGAATGAATAATGTACACTTTTCATGAAAGAAATTCCCACATTAAGTAAAAAACACTAATTATGAAAAAAAGTGACAGCCATTGCCCTTTGTGGATAAGGAATCTCGGGTACGTGGTTTTCATGATCTGAAGTGGGAAGGCGAGAGGCTAGAGATCCCCAAGTCTAGTTGTGGGCAGGTGGTGAGAAGCTAGAGGCTGTATTTACTGTGGGGAGAGCAAGAGACGTTTGCACATAGCAACACTGGGTCCCCATGTCCCTGCCTTTTGACCCTGGAGTTAGTGATTTTCTAAATCAGCCTTCAAAGTATCCAGAAGGAAAACAGAGGGCAAGCACACGAATTCTTCCCCTGACGACACTGATTCACAGTTAGCAAAGAGACATCGGTTTAGGAACCTCCCCTAATGTGTTTTACACACACTCGTTCATTTCTTGATGTTAAGCGTAGGTTAGATGTATGAGAGTTGGCAGTATTTTTGTTTACCTCTTGAAGCATCGATTCCCCTGGCAATAAATTGGGTCAGGCAACACTATTTCTCCAATTCTTACTAGCTTGGAGATGCACTCCTGTTGAAAGAATATTGCTTTGGGGCTGCAGCACTAGCAGCCAACAGTGTTAGCCGCGTGCCGTGTTGCGGGAGGGGACGCTTTGGATATGGAACCTCTGATGGGTGGTCATCTGCGTTGCTCACAGGAGCCGAGGTCCAAGGAGGGCAGTGACTACTTCGACAGCCGCTCGGATGGACTGAACGTGGACGGGCAGGGCCCCTTCCAGGCGTCTGCCGCGCTGTGGTCAGGGGGCTCGGCTCAGCTTCTGTCCCAGAGAAGCGAATCTGCGCATGCGATTGGCAGCGATCCGCTCCGACAGGACATCTATGAGAACTTCATGCGAGAGTTGGAAATCGGCAGGACCAACACGGAGCACGCAGAAACGTCGACCGAAACGGCCGAGTCCAGTAGCGAGTCGCTCAGCTCCTTAGAGCAACTGGACCTGCTCTTTGAAAAGGAGCAAGGGGTGGTCCGGAAAGCGGGGTGGCTCTTCTTCAAACCCCTGGTCACTTTGCAGAAGGAAAGGAAGCTGGAGCTGGTGGCTCGGAGGAAGTGGAAACAGTACTGGGTGACGCTGAAAGGTAAGTGCGTTGTCCGCTGGCGGAGGACCACTGGGCGTCGTGCCCCGCCGTGCTCTTTCCCAGGGGTGCCAGTGAGTCCCGCGTTCATTTGCGTTAACGTGAAGGGAGGTGATACAGAATCTTCTGCAAACACTTTCTCAAACCTGTATAATATGGCCTCCTTAAGATTCACATTATTTAATCAAATAATGATTAGGTTTAATAGTTATTGCTTATTATTTTATAGATATATCTGTACCATTTTAAAATACTTTTCCTGCATCTTTGGCGGGACCCCAAATAAGTAAGCAATTGTAGGTATTTGAGATATAGGTCCTGAATTTCACATTCTGCACGTGTTCAGAGTCCTGAAGAGGTGTTCTTTGCTGCTCCCACCACCAAGAATTTCATCCACATTGTTTGACTTGTGTCACCCCACTGTTATGTACTAAGAGAGGCTGATTATTATCACAAACGAGTGCTTTGCTTTTAATGTAGAGGAAATAGGGGTAAGAATCTGTTTTGTTAAGACGATAAAACCTGCTTATGAGCGTTGCTGTTTAAAAATTAGATTCGCCTCGCTTGTCGCGGGTGTATAGGTTTGAAGGGATTTAAATGTCCCCAGAAAAACGAGGCTCTAAGTCAATACAGTGTTGATTTATACAAATGGAAACAGGAAGAGCAGCCTCACAGCCTCTGGCATTTCTGCACAATGTCCTGTGACTCTTTTTTCAGAGGAACCGAGTGTGATGTTCAGAGTCAAAGCTCGTTATCGGGTGACACCCTTCCTATCGCGGGAGAAAGCAGAGGTGGGAGTCGGGCCTGCAGACGCCACGTGAGAAGGCCTTGGGCCCTCCGCAGGGCTGCTTTCTAGCTTATTTCCACCCCCTATTGAGAAATTGTGAGCCCCCCATCCCAGCCTTGGGGTGCTGGTGTCATTTCGTAATGACCCATGAGCCCCCCTGGGAAAAGTGCACTCACAAAGGCATTTCCTCTTTAAGTGATGCCTTTCCTTAGCACACTGAGGGTTTATGAAACCCAGGTCCCACACAGATGGCAGTCTGTGTCTCTGCCTCTGGGCTTGGGCTGTGGCTGGGGGAGGCAGAGAGCTTTCTGAGTTTTGCCATCCTGGGAAGGCCAGTTCTCAAATGGAATGGCAGAAGGGATTTCCAAAGTTGGAATAATGGGTAGAATCTAGCAAGATAAAATTTTGAAGGGATATGTTATGCTTTAAATGTTTATAATCAGCGGAGTACAGGATAGGGAGATGTGGCTGCAAAATAGGACAGGTGAAGACAATTGGGGGGCGGGGGGTGGGGTTCGATTTGCAGGCTATCCATTGAATGAGTTTCCACTTGGACGAGGCTAAAGTAAATGTTATTTGAAAGAGCAAACGTGATGTCTGGCTGCATCATTAGCGATGTGACGTGGTCCGCAGCTCCATCTGTCACACCTTCCTCTGTCCGGCTCATAGTCAGCCTCTCTCTCCTTGGGGGCGTGATGGTGCAGGAGACTTGTTAGCAAACAAAATGATTCTCCAAAAGGTTCTACCAGAAGTATCTCTAACTGGAGAAGAGAGTGAAACTGTCCCCTCAGGGGTGCAAACATCTGGAATTGTTTGTGGGTCACAGTCTAAAACTGGTTCCTATTTGCATCATATTTAGAATAGGTGCGCTCTGCTCCATAATGTGTCGTATACCTATATATTTTTTTTAATGTAAAATTTGTTTGTTAAACTTGATGCTTTGGGAAGGTGTTCCCTGCCAATCCTAGAGTGGTGGTGGCCTGGTGTTGGGGTGTGTGTGTGTGTCTGTCTGTCTGTCCATGTGTCCATCCATGTCCTGCTTTGAGAAGCAGGGTCATAGGCGACGCCAAGGGGGTTTAGAGCCGTGCCATATGGAGGATGGCATGAGGATCTAGGAATATTTAGCCTGGAGGAAATAAGAACCAGGATGGGAATAAACAATAGTCTTACAGAAGAGACATTGAATTTATTCTGGTTCACCAGAGGTTAGGATGGGACTAATGGAGGACGAGCTGATTCTGAATTAGGATAAAAAAACAAGTGAGTAGAACATGGGCAAGTGGAGTGACAGCACCTCCTGAGGTCCCTGCTGCTGGAGGCACATGTGCAGAGCCAGACTGTTGGAGGCTTCCTGGGGGAGATCCAGGCAGGTATTGCTCAAGGCTGGGAGGATGTGTCTCAGGGTTCCTGTATTCTGTCCCGTAAGCTGCACCGAGAGCTTCTGGCTGCTGACTTCAGGGGCAGGGATGGTCCTGAGCTGTCTTGGATGGTTCCAAGATGGCAGTCTGCCTGGGCCCTGCTGTCTCGGCACTTGCTAGTTAAACCCTTCACGACCCGTGGATGAAGGGCGCTGTGTCAGTGTGAATGTTATCAAGTGCATGTTCCTCTGTTTCCTTTGCAGCCAAGGAAAGGCATGTGACAACGATGTTTTCCCCAGCGTGACCTTTTCCATGCGACTTTCTGCACCTCTTTCCTCTGGGAATTCAATATGTCGAGTTCAGCTTTCTTGGCTCAGCATCCAAGTCACAATGTTTGGGTTTAACAATTTGGCTTAACCTTAGTTGAAAACATATATATGCGTCTATATACACACAGGTACATTGAAGCAGAATTTTAAAATTATCCTTGAAGTAACACTGTAAATAAATTGGGAAGTGTTCTGGAGAGAGCAGCTGTTAGCAAACCATCTGGGGGCCCACCTACATCAAATGTATAGGTATGCTAAGGGCGCCAGTGTTTTTTAAGGCTTGCAAGATGTAATAAATTTTTAACAAGATTAATTCTGCTTTCCATCTGTCCTTTCCAGTGAGTGGATTGTCATGTGGTTCACGAGGGACTTCATGGGCAGAACAGTGGGCAAGGTCATTAAAGATATCCCTCAAAATGCACAGCAGGTGGCCGAGATCAGCAGAGGGGCTCATCAAGGAATTTTCAGATGCTGGTGATGGGCCTTGAGATAGGCCTGAAATGGGGAATGGAGGGATGAGTGTGGGTTCAGAAGTGTCGATGAAAGGTAGATTTGAGGGGAGACTGAGGCCAGTTGCTCTCCTTCTGCTGGTGATAGTTCTAATAAATAACGCATCTCCTATTCTCGTACGTCTACTGCTGGTCCAGTCTATTTTCTCTCTCTGCTACCATGACAAGAACTTCCATGGTGAACCCTCCAGACCATCACTGGCTCCTGGCAGGGTCTGGATGGGACTGACAGTCACAACCCTGGGCGGGGGCATGCAGGAGACTTCATTGACATGGCTGCAGCCCCTTTCCATTAGCCTCAGCTCCCAGCATTAGAGATACAAATTGTTTAGCTCGATGTAACAGATTTATGGTTAATTTCCTTTTTTTTAAATTCCATAAGTCTATGGCCATGCCACCCTGAACAGGCCCAATCCCATCTGATCTCGGAAGCTAAGCAGGGTCGGGCCTGGTTAGTACTTGGATGGGAGACCACCTAGGAAGACTAGGTGCTGTAGGCGTAAAAAATAAAAAAAAAATAAGGTATTATTAGCTGACAAGGTCCTTGCAATCTGTGAGATCCACCAAGGGTCGCCCCACCTAAAATAAATAAATAAACAAACAAACAAATTCTATAGCAACAAAAGTCTGCATATTTTAGATCCTGGCCTAGATCTAAATGTCCTGTTTTGGTTGCATACTGCTGCGTTAGAGCTGCCTTCTGTCGTAGATGGGGTGTGACATTTGGCCACATCTTGGCATCTGCCCAAGGTTGTGTTCATTCCTCTAGATGTAATGATTTGAACCATGCCGCTGGGGCCACAATGTTAGGGAAACTGGAAAGTCAACATTACCCTTTGGAAAGAATTTGGACTTGGGTGCAGCTGGTTTGCTCTGTCACCTTTGCCCCGGTCCTTGGGTTCCCAGGCCGTGGCATGTCACACATGCAGCAGTGGTGTCATACGGGTCTTTCCTGCTGGAAAACCTGGAGTATTGTTTCTAGGGCATCTGTGGCTGGAGGAAGAATCAGGCTCCGCCCTACAGAAGCAGCTCTGGCCATAAACCACCTGCTCCTTTCCCCCGTTCTAGGAACCTCTCTCAGCCTTAGTTTGGGTGGGTTTTGTTTGCGGGAAGAGAGAGTGCTCAGTGCTTCCTGAAATCGTAAAGCACCGCGGAGGGAGAAAGTACTGTCTGCGAGGGGCAGGCATCTTTCTGTCCTGTCTTCTATGCTGCGCTGGGTTCCATGATGTAAACATAAGATTCGTTGTTAAAGGAAGAAATGAAACTGCCAGGAGTGAAATAGCTTTAAAATTATAATCATTATAGGACATTCCTATCTAATTATCAAAGCAGACCTTTAATATCTTCTACCTCTAATACTTTGTTAGCTTATTAGGGGAAAGCTATATGCTTGTAAGCATATGGCAGCATTTTTAGAGTAATATTTTAAAATTCAGGGATATTCAGTTTCATTTTTCTCTCAATCTAAATTAGTACGATGCTCGTAATATTTCCTATTATGGTGAGATAAAATGATCAAGTTATTTTCTGTGGCGTTTGGAGACTAAGCTGTACTTTCTCACGAATGGTTTCCCAGACCTACTTAGTTTCACGTCATCACATGTTGTAGGTGTAGAAGCTCCCTCAGTTAGTAAATATGGGATTCTCGTCTACCTCTCGCATTTCGCTCTCTGAACTAGTGTGGTGTCCTGGTTAAGAATGAGGGCTCTGGGGCCAGAGGGCCTGCGGCCAGCTGTGGGACCTGCGCAAATGGTGGGGCCTCAGGTTTTACATCTGTGAAATGGGTTGATAAGCACACCTGCCTTCTGGGGCTGAGTGAGCCCGTCCATGCGAGAGACTGAGAGGGGATCCCGGCGGGAAGCAGCAATAAATAACAATCAATACTTGGCATTATTACCGATAGCGCATTTACAAAAACATCTCATTCTCACCAGAGTTAATGCCAATACGCCGAGCACATGTTGTATCAAATAGTTGTCTCGTTCAATTCTATTTTTTTTTATTTTTTTTTATTTTTTAGATGTATCCCTTCCCTTCTCATTTCTCTCCTAGACCCTCAGGACGTGTGACAGGGCCCTGGTTTTGCTTCTCTCTCCACAGGATGCACCCTGCTGTTTTATGAGACCTACGGGAAGCATTCCCTGGATCAGAGCGGGGCGCCTCGCTGCGCCCTGTTTGCGGAAGACAGCATCGTGCAGGCCGTCCCGGAGCACCCCAAGAAGGAGCACGTGTTCTGCCTCAGCAACTCCTTCGGTGATGTCTACCTTTTCCAGGTACGCCGCCCTTTCTCCGCGTAGGGTGGAGGCGATGGCCTACCTGCTGTTGGGATGGGAAGGAGCAGAACCCAGAGACCTAGCTTAGCGAGGAAACCGTACAAGCTTAGTTAGGCGTTCGACGGGGGTTTAACCAAGAGGATCGTTCTCTCGCCGCCAGGTACCGTGGGGCGCTCTTCTTAACGAAGAGAGAAATGTCACCATCCCTGTCCTGGGGTAGCTCGTGACCTGGTGAACGCAAGGTCCGAAATCCCCGGAGTGGAGGCTTTTTAAACGAAGCGGGGAGTGTGCGGCCTGGAAAGGCCTGGGTTCTTCCCAGAAACGGGGGCTTAAGCAAGAGGATCGTCCTCTCGCCGCCAGGTACCGTGGGGCGCTCTTCTTAACGAAGAGAGAAATGTCACCATCCCTGTCCTGGGGTAGCTCGTGACCTGGTGAACGCAAGGTCCGAAATCCCCGGAGTGGAGGCTTTTTAAACGAAGCGGGGAGTGTGCGGCCTGGAAAGGCCTGGGTTCTTCCCAGAAACCCCAGCGGAAGCGGAAGGGGAAGCGGAAGGGGAAGCGGAAGGGGAAGCAGCGGCTTTTCAGGAAGTCCTCAGGGACGAATGCCGGAAGGTCTCACTTCCCAGCAGAAGCCGGCTTAGAATCTAAAAATCCTGCTGCTGGGAGTTTTAGCAACTTCCTAGCAAACGAGAAGTCACAGAGCATGGTGACGCCGAGCCGGCGGTGTCGGGGCACGGTTAGGTGTGACTCTGGTGTACCTATGTCATCTTGGAACACTGACTGAACTTCTCTGAGCTTTGGACCCCTCAACCAGTAGGATGATCATAGCTTCTGGGGTTGCTTTAATACCATTTGCATGGTTTAAGTGCTAAAGACTATTATTATAATTAACTCTTTTTACTGTTATTATTATTAATTAACTCAAGAAGGATGGGGTGATAGAGAGCCAGGAAGTGAAGTGTGCTCCTGAAATGCCTCCCCACCCCAACCCGGTGCTGCATGTAGACACAGTATGGGCTGTAGGTTATATCTGAGTGGGGGTTCATGGAAAACTTTGCAGGTCCTGGGTTAAGGTCTCTGATGAAGTTGGTCCTGGATGCCCCCAGGAGCCCTGCAGAACAGCACAGTATTCCCTCACTGACTTTGGGAATCCAGAATTCTCTGAGGTGTCCTCCCCTACAACAGGATTTCCCAGCACCAGAGCCAGGTGAATGCATTAGGCCTCCACACTTACCGATGTCCCAAACCGATGACTTAGGAGAGTCAGGGCCAGAGACGTCATTTTCCTTAAGAGAAAAGTAGCCTAAAGGTATGATGCTTTCAGGCAAAGCAATGAATCGATGCTGATCTGAATTGTAGGGAAGGTAAATACATTAAGTAAATCTGCTTAATCTGGACTTCTTAGGGGCAAGTGTGAAATGAATATTTTGCTTTATGATTCAGGCAAAAATATTCTTAGTTTTAAGAAATTGTCCCAACAGGTCCAATTGTATGATTCCAGAGATCATGCGGGAGTGACCCTGCGGCTTGAACGTGTGTGGTCATTTCTGGCCATTAAGGGAACTGAAACTGCTTTTCAGCCTGCTGAGAACCATGATTTGCTCATTCTGCTCTATTCAAACTTTCTTTGTTGTTTTTAAAGTGAAATATTTTCCTTATATGAAAGGATTATGGTCATTGTGTCTGAAGGTACTGGAGAGCAGAGAAAGAAAAACCGCTATCCGTATTTGCACTATTCAAAGGCAACTATTTTATTGTGCACTTTCCGCAAAATTCTTTCACTGACGTTTTCCATAATAGAGTCCATGCTGGGGGTGAAATTTCATATCAAGTTATCAGAATTACACATTTTAGTCCTCATGTTTTCTCGTTCTATTAAAATTATAAAGATTAGCTGCCTTTGAGAGAGCAGCATAATGTAACCCTGAGTGGATGTACCCCATTTTTCTTATGACTCCCCGCTGTTGGCTTACCGCTTGATTGTAGTTTGTCTCTCTGGCGTATTTGGGGCTACTCGGTCATTTCGACTCCGCTCTCAACGGTCTCACAGACCCTCCGCAATCAAGGAAGTCTGCGAACTCGAGTTGAGTGATTGTGTGTGTGTTCGGAATTAAACAGTTTTTATGAAGTGAGGGCACTTCCTGGGTTTTACACATTAAAGCCCAGCCGGCCTCTTCCCTCTTCGGAGAGCACTTTGTGGTAAAACAATTCTAAATAGGTTTTTTTTTTTTTTAACCCGCCTGTGTTTAGGCCACTAGCCAGACAGATCTGGAAAACTGGGTCACTGCCATCCATTCGGCGTGCGCATCCCTTTTTGCGAAGAAGCACGGCAAAGAGGATACAGTTCGGCTGCTGAAGAACCAGACCAAAAACCTCGTCCAGAAGATAGATATCGACAGCAAGATGAAGAAGATGGCAGAGCTGCAGCTGTCCGTGGTGCGTGACCCGAAGAACAGGAAAGCCATAGAAAACCAGGTACCGCGCATTCACACGAGTGTTTTCCCCCGTCGCTCCCATCGCTCACGGCACACACGATAGTGGCCGTGTTTCTTCCATCCCTGGGGGAGGTAGTTTCTGTGGCTTCTCATTTCAGGTACGTAATGGTACTTTTGTGACGTGGGTGACATGGTCTGCTTTACAGTCTTTGGTTTCGGTGCATAGATAACGGAATGTTTTGTGACCAGATTTTTTTTTTTTTGTCTAATATTAAGTCATTCCTTCTTGCCTCGCTGGTCGTCTCATGTATCGTCACTAACAGAACAAAAATCGATGTCATAAAACCACTAGAAGATTAGACAGTTACGATTCTAAGACAAAGGATGGCTTTGGAAAGAGCCGGTTGGTATAATAGCCATTCCCATGTCTGCGGATTCCGAAAAACCACTGTTTTTTTCTGTATTACGGATAAGGTGCTAAAGAAAATACTTTCTCTTGTCTAATTCCATATTCACATAATAATTAAACAGGTAGTTTTTGCGCTGTTTGCATTTTAGAGGAGGAGGAGCAGCTTTTTAATATTTATTTTTCTTGGCTCAGATGTCCTAAGCACTTAGACAAGTGTCAGTGAAAGTTCTAGCATCCTTGTCTTCATAAACGCCCAATAAAAGTAATACCTTTGGAAGGCTAACCAGGTGGTGGCTCGGGGGGTAGATTCAAGTGGGGACAGTACCTGAGACGTAGAATGGCTGATCGGGATGTGCAGTCATGAGGATCTGGTCCAGAGTAACATCACAGAAGTTTAAAAGTTTATGTGGAAAATGCATTTCAGAGAATATAATTTCTGTAATTCTATAGAATCTTAAAGGTATTATCTTACATTCCTGAATCAAACCGTTTCTCCAAAAAAAATATGCCACTTATTTAAAGAGTACCTGCTAGCAAACTACAAACTACAAAATAGTTCTAATGAGAAACCGAACAGGAAGTGGAAACTGACAAGGAGAATGAGGGAAGTGGCAGGATGTCTGGGGTCTGAATAGAACACAGCTGCTAAATGCGCTGCCACCAGCGCTCAGCCTCTGTCGTCTCGCCTGCTTTCGACCTCCTGCCTCTATCGGGGGAGGAGTTCGCGTCCCGATCTC